AATTCAAAACACTAACTTGGCTCAGTGACTTGGCTTCTTGAATAATTTTCCTGAGGACTGAACAAGGGACAGCCTTATTCACAAGTACACATCCCTCCCCCGTAAAATGTATTAGATGGGGATTGCATCGGGGTTTTGACAGATTATAGTGAGGGCTGGGGAACTGGTACTATTGATTTCCAGGGTGACTATATTTCATTTTCAAAATGTTATGACTGTGACTTGAGGTCAATGCATTAAAAACTGAGCTTACTAATTAATGAATTCTTTGATATTTAATGCACACAGAAAAATTAATTCCTCTTTGCCTAAAGCAAAAGCAAGCAGTAAGCTCATGAAATAGATACACTGGTTTTGCTCTCAACTAATGTAATGAATGTATAAATCTTTGTCTGCTTTTTGTTCATGTTTATTCCTTGGGTGTTAATGAAATGGGGAACTGTTATCAGTAAGTTAATGGATGGGAGTGGAAAGGAGAGCAGGAATTCATGGCACGATAAAACCAGGTTTCATAGGCTCGTGGAAAGCACTGCAATGCGCAAACCATCTGTTCTGACCCAGGGGGTTGATAATGACACCAGATGGCTGAAGCCTTCCATTTATAAGAAGTTTGAGGATCAGACATATTAGTATTGATGTGAGATTATTGATTAGTTGTGGAGAGTCAAAAATAATTTCAGTTGTAGCTAGAACTTCAGTTAGAAAACCGTACTGAATCCCTAACTTCTGATAAAATAAGCAGTGAGCATCTCCTTGGGCAATATTTCAGCCAGACAGGTAGTTCTGAAATGAGCCCTAGCCCCCTAATATAAAACAACTACCACCACCAAACCAGTACATAAGCCATGAGGAACTGAGACAGAGAGACAAGAGTGTGTGCTGATTCTGGGGCCGAACTCCCTGGGTTTCTTTCCTGTGGTCTCTGCTCTTTCTACATGCCTCACCTTGGACAAGTTACTTAACCTGTCTGCCCAGTCGCTCACCAGTAAAAGGGACTCAGTAATGCTGCCTATTCCTAAGGTTGGCATTTTAAAATGATTGTACCATGGTTTACACATCATAAGCATTAACATTTGATGAACATGTTGGTGATAATGGTTGTGACCAATGGCTATCATAATGGCGGTGACCATGGATATCATAATGGTGGTGAGCATGGTTATCATAATGGTGGTGAGCATGGTTATCATAATGG